CGATGTACTCTCGAGGTAAGTGGCAACTTCGCGCTTCTGTCACTGTCAAAACGTCCCAGCGCATAAATCCAGGACTGGTTCGCCAAAACAGTTCGGGACACCCTCGGATAAAGCATCGATGGCCCAGCTGAAGGCGTACAACGCTAACGCACTCACTTCAACCCCCAAGCGACGCAGGCTGACCTTGGATCTCGTTTGGTTTAGAAGAAGAGACGCGTTCCAAGTGGAATAGTCGACATGAAGGCTCCGTCTTGGCACGCCCACGCGATGGCAATTCTCCGCAAGCAGCTCGAGCAAGTTCCCATGTCCACTCCCAAGTCGGTCTCATTGGAGGGTTGGCGCGGCTTTCCGAAGGGAGAAAGCGAAAGCGCACGTCCTCCGCTGGGCGAGCTAAGCGCCAGAGGCGCTGACTGATGGCCACAGCCTGCAACGACCCTTGTACTCTGCAAATGAAATGGCTTGTTATTCTCGCGACGTGAGTGTGTGACAAGCAATGCGCGGTTTGCACCTTTGTCCATTATGGGAGGTCTCTGCCATTTCGCCGCCCCCCTTGCGGCGACGCTCGACTGACTGCGAGCGAAGGGCAGGGCTTGTATTTGCATTGCGGTGAATGTGCATTGCGCTTGCATATTTTCCTATAGAGAAAAGTGAAAGAAAGAGAGGAGGGGGAAGGTAAGGAGGAGTAGGAAGGAAGGGGGAAAGGAAAGGAGAGTGGAGGACCAAGGCGAGAAGATGTGGAACTGCGTATCCTCAGACTCCCGAGAGCCGTCAAGTGCATGAAAAACTGCTTGTTGTAATCGCACAAACGATGAACCGCAAAGGGGGGGGCACAGGCGTGAGGAGGCCCAGGGGGACGAGAACCCATGCCCACGGCATGAATCGGGTCGGGCGAAAGGGGGGGATAGCAAAGGAGGGTTTGAGAATCAGCTCACGTAGCTGATTTTCCCGGCGCCTCCCGGCGCCGGAGGCGGCTATGTATCGAGGAATGGGCTCCTCGGTGAGGCCAAAATCAGCTGCATGCAGCAAATTTCGTAACCCCCCCTTTCCCAATCCCCCCCTTTCGCCCGACCCGAATGAAGCTCGTGCGCGCCAGTGCCAGAGGCGTGCAGGTACAGCAGGAGGTCGCGGCCGCACACGAGGGGCTTCACGGGCGGCCGGGGCAAAAGGAGGAGCAGGCCAGGTGGGCGTGCCCACCGAAGGGGCCCTGGGACACACAAATAAATACACACAAATAAAATGATTCCCCATATTTTCCCATATTTTCTGGGTTTCTGTCTTCCCCCCCACTTCCCATATTTTCCAATATTTTCTGGGGAATCGCCGATTAATTGTGTCTGTGTGTTTTCTCCCCTCCTGACCCACGAGTGTCGCGGCCAGGGCAAGTGATGACGGGTAAGCCGCAACTGGCGTTCCAAATCCAGCACACTCCCGCGCAGGAAGGGAGATCCTTGGGGAATCATGAACAACATGAGCATGGCGCAAAAGCCCGCCAAGACGTGGAGAGACCATCGAGAATCTGGCTGGGGGACTCCACGAACTGCAGCTGGACCGGGCGAGGCCACACAGCGCCAGCGCCAGCAGCCGCAAGCGGCTGGGGCCAGTTAAACCCAGCGGGCACAACATAGCGGCTCGGGGGTGAGGGGGGGAAGAGGGAGCGAAGACGGGCAGGGAGAACGGTGAGAGGGCACCAGAGAGCGCCCACTGGTCCCAGAAGGCCCGACCCTTTCCCCAGCGCAAGTTTTTCATCCCGAGTCGTTGTTTGACGATCCCGGGGCACCGTAAGGGCCCCCCGAGGCTGAAAATTGAGGAAACATTCGCCCTGATTGATTCAGGACGTTGCGTGTCTGGGTCTGGGTCAGGCTCCCCCACCAGATCTCAGCTGGCAGCCTGAGCGACAGCCTGGCGAATCCACGACCTGCAGACGTCGAAGCCAGGCGCCCTGCGATGGCGGCCCCTTCCCTACTCCTCATCCTCTCCTGTCCAAACCCCCATCCCTCCACTCCTGCCCTCCCCTCCTCCTCTCCTGCCATCCTGCCCTCCTGCCCTCCTCGCCTCGTGCCCCTCCCCTCCTGTCCCTCCCCTCCTGTCCCTCCCCTCCTGCCCTCCCCTCCTCCACTCCTGCCCTCCTCCCCTCCTGCCCCTCCTCTCCTGCCCATCCCCGCGCTCTCCTGGTCTCGTGCCAGGGGAGGCGTGCGCCTCGTCGTGTCGGCACGCGGTGGTTGACTTTTGCAGCTACGTGCGCGAGAACGACCACACATGACGTGGTGGCTGATTCTCCAGCTGCGTGCCCGAGGATGTCTGTGGAAGGGCCGGCACCCGACCACGGCAGGCCTGTGAGGTGAGGGCCCCAGACGGCCTTGGCAAGTCCCCTCTGCAGAACATAGAGGCAGGACCCGAGGACACCCGTTGGTCCCCTTGACCCCCCCGACACGGGGTCCTGCTTCGTCCGCTGCAGCCACAGCGGCACGTTCGCGGCCAGGCGGTGCTCCCCCGGTGCCATCGGCGCGCGCGCGGGCCCCGCCGCGCGCCCCGAGGGGGGAGCAGGGGGTCGGCGCGCCGCGGCGCACGGAACGCACCTGGGGGCAGCACTGCACGGCAGGCGTGCGCGAAGGTGGGTGCGCTGAGCGAGGGGAAAGGAGGACATCGTATTATTATTATTCCTCTTGCTCACCATCATCACTACCACAATCAGCATCATCAGCATCATCATCATCATCATCATCATCATCATCATCATCATCATCATCATCATCATCATCATCATCATCATCATCATCATCATCATCATCATCATCATCGTCATCGTCATCGTCATCGTCATCATCATCATCGTCATCGTCATCGTCATCGTCATCGTCATCATCATCACCACCATCAACATCATCAGCAGCAGCATCATCATCAGTGTCCTCGTCGTCGTCTTCATCATCAGCATCATCATCAGCAGCAGCATCATCATAATCGCCGTCAGCATCGTCATCGTAATCATCCTCCTCGTCATCATCCTCGTTGTCAGCATCAGCATCATCACCAGCATCATCAGCATCATCAGCATCATCATCATCATCTTCAGCTTCATCTTAATGTCCATCTTCATCTTAAGTTTGATCATCATCCTCATCATGATCGCCATCAGCGTGATGATCAGCATCATCATGAGCAACATCAGCAATATCCTAAGCATCGACATTATCATCATAATCAGCATAATGAGTACCAGTATCGCCACCATCATCCTCACAAGCATCCTGATTATCACGGTGGTATCGATCAGCATCAGCATCAGCATCATCGTGATAATCAGCATCATCAGCAGCACTATCATCATCACCACTATCACCATCACCAGTATCAACAGCATCATTAGCATAATCATCATCGCCATCTGTATCATCATCAGCAGCATCATCAGCATCATCGTCAACATCATCGTAATCAACATAGTCATCATCGTCGTCATCAGCAGCAGCATCGTTATCATTACTTTCACCATCATCACCACCATCTCAATCACCACCACCACCATCACCGTCATCAACGTCCTCATTATCGTCCTCATCCTCATCATCATCAGCATCATCATCCTCATCCCACTCCTCCACATCGTCATCGTCACCGTCAGCAGCATCATCATCACCACCACGTGCATCCTCATCATTATCCACATGAGATGCCCCTTCTCCTGGTCAATAGTCGTGCTCATGCTGTTCCTCCCCGTCTTCCGATCACGCAAACGGTGTGTTCGATAGCGTCGGTGTATCGCGTTCGCGTGCTAAGCTCAGAAGTCTCTCCGCTTCCAGTGGCGTGGCTGCTGTTGCTCAAGTTGGTTAGAACTGCAGCGTGCGCGGGTCGCTGGAAGGAAGCACTCTGCGCGAGTCAGCATGTTATATCGAGGTCGCTTCTGTTCTGGGAACACCTTTGTGGAGCGCCCCTCCTCGTAGCATTCCCCATCCCCATCAGCATGAGCATGAACAGCATCGTCATCATCATCATCAGCAGCAGCAGCATCAGCAGCATCATCATCATCAACATCATCATCATCATCGTCATTAGTATCATCATCAGCAGCATCAGCATCATCATCATCATCAGCATCAGCATCATCTGCAGCAGCATCATCATCATCAACATCACCATCATCGTCATCATCATCAACATCCCCACGCGATCTGTGTTCGTCCTCCTCCAACTCCACCTCCCCCATTTCTCCCCAATGATCATCGGCATCATCCCCAACGTCAGCATCAGCATCAGCATCATCATCTTCGTCGTCGTCATCATCACGTTTCAGTAACAACATCATCATCATCATCAGCATCATCATCATCATCGTCATCAGCAGCATCAGCATCATCAGCATCAACATCACCATCTCGTCATCATCATAATCAGCATCATCACCATCACCATCACCATCACCATCATCATCATCATCATCATCATCATCATCATCATCATCATCATCATCGCCATCATCATCATCAGCATCATCATCATCATCATCATCATCATCATCATCATCGTCATCGTCATCGTCATCATCATCATCAGCAGCAGCATACTCCTCCCCTCCTTACCCCTGCACATCAGGGTGCGCACTCACGCATGCAAGAGGGGGGGAGGAGGCGGGCGGGGCGCTTGGCCAAGAGGGGGGGTAGGTTCGCCTGTACGTTCTTTGGACCTGTGAAGGGGGGGGTCCTTCCTCCTCGTAGCTTGGAGGGGTGCTCAGGGAGGACACGCCAAGGATGCCTGGTCCTCCTGGTTGCGTTCCTCCTCAACCTTCATCCCCCTCACCATCAGCATCCCTCTCTTCTTTACCACAGCGTCGCCAACATCAGCGCATCGTCATCATCATGATCATCACCATCATCATCATCGTCATCAGCATCATCATCATCGTCAGCATCAGCAGCATCATAATCATCATCAGCATCATCAGCATCATCGTCATCATCAACATCATCATCAGCATCATAATCGTCATTATCATCAGCATCATCGCCATCATCCTCGTCATCATCATCAGCATCATCGTCGTCATCGTCCTCCTCCTCCTCATCATCGTCGACGTCATCCTTATCGTCATCGTCATCATCATCATCATCAACATCAAAATCATCATCACCATCACGACCATCAACGTGATCAGAATCCTCCGTCTGATCCTCCGCCTCATCCTCCTCGTCCTATCAACATCCTCCCCCCCTCGCTGTGCCCTCGTCCAGTCGCCATCAGCATCCTCATCGTCATCATCAGCAGCATCAGCATCTGCAGCACCAACAACAGCCTCATCATCATCCTTATCCGCCACATCATCACCAGCATCATCATCATAATCATCAGAATCATCATCAGCAGCAGCATCAGCATGATCGCCATTAATAATACCATCATTATCATCATTCAGCAGCAGCAGCATCATCATCATCAGCATCAGCAGCAGCATCGACAGAATCAGCATCATCAGCATCGTCAACGTCAGCGTCATCGTCACCGCCATCGTCATCGCCGTCGCCATCGACATCGTCGTCGCCACCATCATCACCAGCAGCATCATCAGGTAACAACGCATTGGATCATCATCCTCATCATCCTTATCCCCCTCCTTCTCATCATCCTCATCCGCACCCTCATCACAATCGTAATCAGCGTCATCATCAGCATCAACATCATCATCATCATCATCATCATCATCATCGTCATCAGCAGCAGCATCCCCAGGCTATCAGTGCTCGTCCTCCTCCAACTCCGCCTCCCCCATTCATCCCCATCATCATCCTCATCATCATCATGATCACCATCATCATCATCATCATCATCATCATCATCATCATCATCATCATCATCGACATAATGGTAATCATCATCAGCCGCATCGTCAGCATCGTCATCATCACCAGAATCAGCATGGGAATGATGATCATCATCCTCATCATCATCGTCATCATCGTTATCACCCGCATGATCATCATCATCATCAGCAGCATCATCATCATGATCATCATCATAATCAGCATCAGCATCAGCATCAGCATCATCACCATCATCACCATCATCATCATCATCATCATCATCATCATCATCATCAGTATCTCGTTCCTCATCCTGTTCCCCCCGCTCCTCCTCCCCCAGAGACAATGCAAAATCTGCTCGAGGTACGAGCAGGCGCAGCAGCTCTGGATTCTTGCACTCGTGCGATGTGTTCCCCTCGCTGTGTCCGCTGTTTGCGTACGGACACTCCCGTCCCAGAAACTGTTATGCTTGCCTTGACGTTCACCGGCGCCTTACCCTTTTCCTCCTCCTTCTCCTCCTCCTCCTCGTCCTCCTCCTCCTCCTCCTCCTCCTCCATTTGCCTCTTCCGCCTCCTCATCCTCGTCATCCTCCTCATCCTCCTCTTCCGCGTCCTCCCCCCTCCCCCCTGGCCTGGGGGCGCGCGGCAGGGCGACCGGCCACCTGCTCAGCTCGTCGGAGAAGTTGTGGCCTGGCCCCCCCCCCCCCGTCGTTCCCCTCGTCCTCCCCCAGCGGGGGACGACACGAGTGCATATAGACCACTGCTGCGTATTCTCCCGCACCATGGTTCTTGATTGTGCTTGGTGCTTGCTCTCGTCAGCAGCGGTGGCACCTTCAGCGCCCAGTGTCGGTTGCCGACGCCTCTAGCTCGCGCTCCCGCGGCTGGTCGAAGAGCAAGGAGGAGGCCGAGCGTCCCCAACGAAGCCCTATCCGCAATCATCGCCGAGCCCCCGCAGTGGTGCCGACAATGTGCGCCAGCGCAGGCGCGCGACGAGCGCCTGCACTGTGCGGAGCGAGCCAGGCGCGCGAGACGCGCAGCACGGGCGAGTTCCGCCGCCTCGGAATCGGAGAGCCCCCTCCCGTAAAACCCTCTCCGTATATTGGGGAGGAATGGATGTGACAAAGAGTTGCGACCAACCGTGACCGAGGGGAGAAGGGACAGATGGCCAACAATTATAGCTCTGACGACGGCAACGGACCGCCAGTGGTCATAGCCATCAGGGGAAGAAGTACGGGCGACCTCGCGTAGCGGAGGGAAAAACAGGAGCAGGAAGGAGGTGGAAGAAGAGGAGGAGGAGGAGGAGGGAGGCGGAGAAGGGAGGAGGAAAGAGGAGGGGGACGAAGAGGAGGAGGAGGGGGAGGAGGAGGAGGAGGAGGAGGAGGAGGAGGATGGGAAAGATTAGGCGGGGGACGATGAAAAAGATTCAGAGTAAGAATCCGAAGGAAGAAGGAGAAAGCATGGGAGGAAAAGAAAGGATAATGTTGAGAAAGAGGAGGTAGGGGAGGAGGAGGAGGAGGAGGAGGAGGAGGAGGGGGAGGAGGAAGAGGAGGAGGAGGAGGAGGACGAGGAGGAGGAGAAGAAGAAGAAGACGAAAGAGGAGGAGAAGGAGGAAACTAGAAGAAGAATGGGAAGAAGGAAAGAAAGGTGCAGGAGGAGGAGGAAAAGAGAGCGGGCGAGGAGGAACGGGGGGAGAGGACGAGGACGAGGAT